CCCGGTGGTCTAGCAGCGTAGAAAATATAAAGTGAAGCTGTCAAAAGCCATGAAAAAGATGTTCTTAGGTTTTTATTGGTTTGAGGGAATATGCGAGTTGTGGTTAGAGCTGCAGCTGGTCAGCCAGTCAATTCTCAATCTTCTGGGGCGTAGTTCAAAGGTTACTGTTGAGTCTGGTCCCTATTGACCACGTTTCCAGAATTGCCATCAATGGTGCAACTCAATATATCGTCTTCTTACTATTTAAACGCCATTCCTGTTATTTTCCCTAATTTTCCATGCTGCTGCTGATATTGGTCGGGATGCTAGGTCAGCGTTTCTTCGATTTTGTCCCGCGCTAAAGAATTACCTTCTACATTTAGGAAACAATTACAGAAAAGGAACAAGCTTGTAAGAATCAAGTCGAGAGGAGAGCCCTTAGATGACTGATAGCTTTTTTAGTTTTTTTTTTGGTGGTCATTTGCTGCCCTTTTTCCGAAAGAAAGCCAAAGCGACGGTTGCCAGGTTTTTGCTGTCATACCCATTACTCAAGCGTTCGAATGGTTGAGCAGCCAAGATTTGCCATTTTTCAGACACGAATTCCGTCCCATGAGGCGACCTGCTTAGTTTAGCGGCTCTATGAGTGTCAGCTATGCAGGGGCAAAATTGTGTCCCTGTTCTCCTGCAGTACGGACGAGTATCACATCAGTCCTTGAAAACTCTGAGCGATTGCAAAAAAAGCATTGAGCTGCCCGTACTTTCCAAAAAAATGACTACATGTTAGGCTGGTAAGAAGGAAGATCATTGGCTATTCAGGAGTACAGGTGTATTAAGTGGATGAATTTCATATAACTGCGGATTTAAATGATAGTTTATGCTCCAAAACCAGCGTTTGGGGTGATACCATTAGTAGTGGTAACTGAATAGTTCTTCAGCGTCGCGCTTGATTCTAGTAAGTTGGAGGAAACCATGAGGTGATTTGATATTCCGTTCTACGCGGGTCTTTATAGCGTCAGAACTTCACTTACCGACGGCTTCAAATTAAAAAAGTAGGGATGTGAAAATCACTGTATCGGCTTCTCTTTAGCCGATGGACAACTTTGTCTATGTTTTGAATACGGAAAACTGTTTTCTCGTTAAAAACTGGTCAAAATCAAGTTGTTCATTTCAGATGATCTTCCTGCACGGTCTAGGAGATTCAGGTGATGGTTGGTCTGATGTATTCGCCCATGAAATCCGTAATGATAATGTTAAGTACATTTGTCCCAGTAGGTGAGTGGTTTAGTTGTTAATTTACTCATGCGATTGTTTAACTTTACCCATAAGCGTTTAATCAATTTGCACTCTCGGTGTGCCAGAGATGCGATTTCAAACCATAAATACTGATATTGTAGTGCATCACGTCCAGTGACATTGAACATGGGTATGGTCATGCCAGCTTGGTTCGATTTATACGGTCTCGATGCCACAGCTCGCGAGGATTCTGAAGGCATTGCACAGGCTACGCGACTGGTTCATGGAATGATCGATGCAGAGGTGATTTTATACCACCTACTAATTACCAACAGAAATTAAGTTTTTTTTTCTCTGATTGCCCGGACAAGACCGAGACTTATGCTCCTTACTCGAGCAATTCTTGATTAGGCCTAATTTCCTTTCGGCATCATTTTGGTCGTTTTCCTTAAGCTACTCGAGTTTTCTTTTGTCAATTTGATTGAGTTCTTTCAGGTGGCAGCCGGCATCCCATCCCATAAAATCATATTAGGAGGTTTTTCCATGGGAGGAGCTTTGGCTCTTTATGCTGGTCTCACTTATCCACACAAACTAGCTGGAATTGTTGGCCTGAGTTCGTTCCTTATTCAGCGAGACAAATTACCGGGCGTGAGTTTCAGAAATGAGTTCCTTTTTTGTTTTTTTTAACTGCAATTTTCTTAAATAATGGGACTTTTCTGTTTATTTATTAGTACTTTTTCTATTGATTACTATTACCTCCATTTTTAGTACAATTCACGTTCTTCGCATGAATTTGTTTTGCAATAATTATTAATGGGCCACTGTAAACCTGTGGGGCTAAGAGAAGATTCTAAAAGGAAACGTATAAATATTTCTACATGTATTTGGACATTCATGTTCACTCGATATACTAAAGAATACTTTTTTGCCGCCCATTTTGAACCTGTTTAAAATAGATTCTTCAAAATGGGCTCCGAAACTGTGGAGTACCCGTAAATCCGGGAAGTGGTTGAGATTTGGTTCTTTTTTTGTGGTTGAGGTTGCTTGCGTGTCATCCATTATATCGTTTAATGGCTATTGGTTGAGATTTACAATGGCGGCCAGCCATTATGCGAAACCCTATCATCGTCTTTTTAGTGTAATCCTTTGGCAGTTAAGGGTCCCGTGAGCGTTAGGGAAGGGAGTCTTGGTCGGTTTGAGCGGCAAGTAGGGTAAGGAGCACTGTTAACACGTAGGGAATTGGTGATCCATCTTCTTGACCGTGTTCTTCTCAGGACAGTCAAATATTCCTATCGTCCAAGCTCTGAAAGTTTATACAGATGTCCGGGAGGGTAGAAAACTGATCATCTGGTTCATTGACCCTTCCAAGTCAGGGCATAGGCCAAGCAACTGTTTTTATACTATGACCTACTCGAAGTGGCGCTGTAAGATGGGGCGTGACCTGTAACGGCATTGATCAATGTCTAGGAGTTTATCGCCACCCTTTCATGTATCGTTCTGTTTATTGTACACACCAATGTATGCTTCAAAATGTTTACTTTTACCCTTATTGCTTATTAGTGGTGCTGTATGGACTGCTTGTTAGTAGTAGTAATGTATTCCAGAATCACACCACAAATAAGGAAACGCCTATTTTCCTTGGACACGGTGCGAATGACTTCCTTGTGCCATTAACATTCGGTCAACTGACGGAGAAACTTCTGAAAGCCTTTAATCCGAATGTGCAACTGCATGTATACAATGGAATGGCGCATAGCAGTTGTCCGGAGGTTAGTGCAGCTCCATCTTATTTGAAATTTTCTCTGGATCAGCAGCATCCCACCGTCGTCACTCACTCAGAAAGATTTCCGGAGACCAGAATACGGAAGTCGGAATGACTTTACATTTTTCGCTTAACACCTCTATTTCAGGAGCTACGTGATCTAAAGAAGTTCATTAATGAAAGGATTAACTAGTCATTGAAGTGATCAGGCAGCCAATTTTCTACTTCGTATTGTACTCGGATTATTAGACTCATATTCTCTCGGAAACTCGCTCGTATATGCTGGAAAGTCGTCAATTCACATTCATTCCATTCTCGTTGAGTTTTGCTAATGTGTTTTACTCGATCCTAGCTCAAACTCGAGAAGTTCAATAACTAATAAAGTATCGATTTTTATCAGAGTGACAACCTTTCACCTTTCATTCGAATACTATTCTTTCAGTCCCAACTTTTATCGACTAGATTGAATCTGTACTATTTTATCCGTTTTTTTTTTAAATCACATAGTACTATTTTAAGGCATAACTCAATGTGGGGATGGGTAGTACGCTTATATTTTTGTGATGGTTCGCAAATTTAAAATGCATTCTGGCCATCGCAGGCCTCTTTC